TGTAGCTATTATGATGCAATATATATATATATTTATATGTGTGTGTGTATATATATATATATATATACATAAGTATATATATGTATATGTATTTTCATAGGTATATATATTTATATGTGTGTGTATATATATGTGATTATATATATATATATATATATGTGTATATATATATATGTGTATATATATATACATATATGTGTATATATACATATATATGTATATATGTATGTATATACATACACATATATGTATATACATATATATATGTATATATATATATATGTATATATATATATGTATATATATATACATATATATATACATACATATATATATACACATATATGTGTATATATATATGTATATATGTATGTGTGTATATACACATATATATGTAATAAATTTGACCTCTTGACTAATTGTTCAAATCACAAAACTATCTCTCAGGACAAGTGGAGGCACAATCATCCTCCTCCCCCCATGCCACACAGCTCTTTCAGGCAACTATGCTGCCAACATCAAACATGGCCATATAGGTCGGCACATTTTGACCGGTACATTTCTTAGAAACAGACAAACAGAAAACATTTGGGGGGAACGGAATAGTATGAATATGCATTGTTTGCTCTAGTGATTTCTCATTGGGTGGAGTTCATCCCATTGAAACAATAAGATTGTTTGGTTTATAAACCCAACTTTATCATCTTCTCCGATTGTCTTAAAGCTGCATCTTAGCAGCCACACCTTGGCTTTCAGAATGTGGTCGTGATGTGCCAAACGACAAGGCTTATCCTGTCTAATACTACCTGGGCTTATTGCTGCCACTCCAAGATTCTGGTAAAGCAAGTAATAGCTGGCTTGGCTCATGGGAAAGCAAGCAGCTTCTCCGTTTGTCACATTCCATTACCTAGGGGAGAGAAACTTTTGGCAGCGTATGTGGTGTCCTGCCAGGTGATCTGAGGTCGATCAGTTCAGACTCAGCGGTCAGTCTTTTCCACAGATACCTGAACAAAAGTCTTCTCGGGGCTTTGTTGGGGTCTTTTGTGTAGGTTTTCATTTATAAAACATGTCTTTTTTTCTCTTAGTGGGAATAGACATGATCTTAAAAAGATATTGTAGAATTGCTGTGAAAAATCTTTTTTTCTTTCTTATTTTTGTAATGATGGAGTTAAAACTTTTTTTCTTCAATATTCATATTTATCACTTATTTATCATCTCTGTGCAGTAATTTACAATAGTAAGTCACATCTTTTCTTTAAGTCAGGATAATGCCAACTTAGAAAAAGACTAGAAATAAAAGACCCTTTGTTTCTGTGACTCCCACTCCTCTGGTTTCTCCTGACCCTACCTTGTATTCAACATTTTTCCCTTTCAGATGAGCTATTTAGAATACAAAGTTTGCATCCTGCCATGACATCTTTGCCACAGTGAAGCAAAGCCTCTCTCTTCCTGCCTAGCTCTATAACCACAGCGGGTGCAACAAACCCATGTGTTGTTCAGACCTGAAAATGGCACAGAAACAACTTATAATGAGGTTAGCAGGTTTGTTAGCTCCCTCAATAATCCTCTTACTGTACAGTACGTGGCAGCAGCTGCAGCCAAGCTAAGTCAAGCAACACCACCATTATACCTGAAGTCTGTTATAACCGGAGCACAGTTGGCCTGAACTGGTGGGCTACCAGTACTCCAGCATAAGGCGCCTTTCTTTAAGTCTCAGTTAGGGAAGAAATGCAAAAGACCCAGCTGTGATAAACAGAACTTTCATGCTCATTTTAAGTAATTTACTGTCCTGCTAAATTTGTGGGATTATCTAAATGTGTGTGGGCTGGTGGAGATTCTAACCTGAACGCTGAGGACCTCGTGAAAACCACGAGGAAAAGATTAGGGATGCACTGACATGACCGAGGCCGCTGCGATGGCTCGTTTTAATGAGACCATCATTAACCCTTAATGTCTAAAAAGGGGGAGTTAGGGAAGCCAGACGCTCTCCTGGTTGTACACAACCCTCTCCCCCAAGCTGGTCACAGCCAGTCGGGTATGGCCGTTTAATAGTAAGTGTTTATTAGCACATCGCTGACGCCCCTTAGATCTCAGTTCCTGGTGTGCGAGTGGAAAAATGCTGCCGGAATGTCACACCGACAGGAGGGGGAAGCGTTTCCACCAAGTACCCGTTTCCCATCGTCTTCAGAGGGTCTGCTGTTTATTGTGGCACCGGTCCTGGTGCACTGTGTTATTTAGCTTTTATTGTCTTACAGTGTTTTTCTTTAATTTCTCCCAATCCAAACCCGTATGGGGCAGGATATTCTCTTTTGAAGCGGTAGAACGAGACATGCTTTGATTCATTTGGTCGTGTTGTTCTTTGTGGTATTTTTAGAATATTGTCTGTACCGAAACATTGTTAGCGGCTTATATCCTGTAGACTAGAAAGAGCCTTTAAAAAAAGTTCCATTGAACCCTTTCCTTAAACTTGTGATTTTTTGCTGTTGCTACGGCACCCGTCCGAACCAGTAACTAAATAGACCCTTCATTGGGCTAAAAGCTCCTTTTTTCTGCGCTGCGTCTGTGAGACGGTTCAGTCTGTGACACTGGGTTAAGGTTTCACTTCTCCTCTTCGCCGACTGAACAGCAAAGTGACCAACTGGACTGATATGTGAAGGAATCAGGTGTCGCTGCTTTAATTCCCTCAGAGAGTTAGCAGCATGCCTTCCCTGAGTCTGTAAGTGACAAAAATAAAACCTTTAACTGCACTCAGAACTTCTCATTACGTAATTTGATGTCATATGTTGATCATTGAAATACTTTATAAATAAAAGGGGATGACATTTTCATAGCATCAGATAAAGTCCATCTTTCTTCCCCTCAGCATGATGCTGCCACCACCGTGCTTTGCCATGGGCAACGATAACCTAATGCGTCTGTTTATTCCAATCACCTGGAGTCATTTTAGTAAATCAATTGTTAACATGAAGTTCTTCCGATTATTACTTTTATCTTAAATATATAATTGAATTGTTTTCCTTATTCCCGTCTGAGTGGCGTTGCCATAATCAGAGCCGTCCTGGACGTAACCGGCATGCGGCAGCTAGAGGGCAGCTGTAGATCTGGGAGATCATTGCACCTTCATCACATTATTATCGCTGCATCTTTATGTGTGATCTCTGACAGCAGAATAACACGACACACTGAGACCAAAGTGGGATTTGCGCTCCCTGTCATTACCACGCTCAGTTTAAAACAGGGGAAAAGAAATTATCTGATTTTCCACAACTTTTCTGAGTTAACTTTTGTCTTTTTATCTGAGCAGATGGAGTTTGAATGGTAGTAACTAGGAGGTCAGGGTGGAGTTAAGTCCTGGAATGGATTGACTGACTGATCTGGATTCCTATGATGTTTGTAACTTGCGGCAGGAAATGAATCACATTTAAAGCACCTTCTATATCAGCACTTTCTTTCCATAGTCCAACCTTTCCAATTTAAGCAGTTTATCTGGGCGTATGAATGTCGGTCAGAAGGGGGGGTTTGTCTTAGTTTGCCCCTTTGAAACCTTTGCACTTTAGTCCCCTTTTTTCTGGTTGTGTACCTTAAGTTTTTGCGTCAGTGCAAAATACGTTTGGTGTGTTTTTCCTCCTGAAAAAACACAGATTTCGCATTTCTCCATATGTCCTTGGACTGCTGTGCACAGATCACTTGTTTGCAGGAACTGTTCATATTATTAACATTTGCTCTTCCCTGAAATGAGATATGTTTATATCCTTATTTTTTTTCTTCCTTGAAGCTGGTTCTGAGTTATTTGGAATTTTACCATTTTTATGAGTTTATTGAACACTGTCAGTGTTTTTCCCAGGGCAGCAGGTTCACCTTATCATATGCCTGGCTCATGCTGTCCTCCCCACCTCTCCATTGTTGATATTAGCTGGATTTGAACCCGCCATCTCCCCGTAGCCTTTCCCAGGCTTTTAGAACAACACAGAACCAGCAGTAGCCTGCCCTTTCTTGGGTGCAGGGAGTGGTGTAAGGCTTATACAAGGTGTTCCTTTGTTTTTACTAGGGTGTGCCATGTGGCAGGTTTATTTGTTAAAGCAGAAGAAAAGAAATCAAAAATCAAACCTGGCAAGATAGTACCTGATCTCCTTTTGTCCTCACAGGGCCTCTGTGTGCCCCACTGTGATCCCGTGATCGTACACTAAGCTGGAAAAAGGTGCTAAGAAGTATGAATTCCTGGAAGTTGTGTAACCTGTAATAATACAGGTTCTCATGTCAGGAGGTAGATTTCATTTGCGTATGAGTGAAAACCTGCCGCCTGACGAGCCTAGAGGGATATATAATGGATATACAGAATTAGGTGGAAGTTTTCACTTCATTTCCAGATACCAAAAAATAGATAATTTCAAAGTTTTAAGCTTTCATTGGTTTTGGATTTGGATCTTAGTTGTGTCTCAAAGGACATCTGATCTAAAAAAAAAAAGCTGTTTTAATGGTGCTGAAACCACTGGATCAACCCCGACCGTACAGAAATATATTCACATCCTTTATCCCGACATTGCTAGCTGATGTGTTTTCCAGAACTGCGTTATGCTGTGACTCAAAATCTTAACTCTGTCCTGATTTTTCTTTCGCAGAAACAAGACAAAAGTTATAATCTGTTTAACTTTGAGCTCTAAGAAGTGTAAGCTTAGGCAGTTACTGAATGAGAGCCTTGTGTTGAGTTGTTGTTTTCTTGTGTTTCTTTCCAGGTCCTAATCTGCTGCTTGAAAACATTGAGTCAAAACACCTACTGCATCCTGCTTCGTGTACTAAAGTGACTCCTGGACTCTACATCCAAGAATCAATAGGATTCTAGTTCTTCTTCTTGAGCCTGTTTGTCTGAAGCTTTTCTATCTGTCCTTATCTAAACTCAACAACAGGTGTTCCGTCTACGCAGTGCTTCTCACACACCCACCTAGAACACTTTACAAGCGTAGCCTTTCTTTTTTCTGCACCCACACATAGTCACAGCAAACATGGCCAAAATCCTTTCCAACTTTGGTAAGATGTTGCTGCGCCGCCGGCCGCTGGACTTCTCCGGCGAAGAGACCCAATTTGCCCGCTGCTTATCCACCCTGGACCTCGTCGCCTTGGGGGTGGGCTCCACGCTGGGCGCCGGTGTCTACGTCCTCGCTGGCGAGGTCGCCAGAGAAAAGGCAGGACCGGCCATCGTCCTCTGCTTCCTCATCGCCGCCCTGTCTTCCATGCTCGCCGGCCTGTGCTACGCCGAGTTCGGCGCCCGCGTCCCCAAGACTGGCTCTGCGTACCTCTACAGCTACGTGACGGTGGGCGAAATATGGGCTTTCATAACAGGATGGAACCTCATCCTGTCTTATGTCATTGGTGAGTTCCAGTTTAGGAGGAATCTCTGATGAATGTTTCCCCTAAATTCAAATCAAGAAGGGAAACTCAGAACTTTCATTGCACATCATTTTCTTCCCAGAAAACTTTAAATATCACACCCGACCAGTAAATCCAAAATGTTTTTCCAGGTTTACACGGTTTCCTTCCACTCAACTTTCCACTAATGTGCCATGGTACAGCAGTTTCACTGAACATTTGTAGGAAATGCAGTTGTTCAAAGAATAGTCTGTGAAAAGTTAAGTGGAAGAAAAAAATCTCTTTTTAAATGGGAAATTCCACCTGTAATCTAATTTAGATCACTCAGCATGTTGAATCTAAATAGCAAGAGTTTCTGTTTTTGAATTGGACTACGAATTACAGTTTAATGGTTACTCATTTATTTATATCCCATCATGCAAAGCAAGCTGCGTGTTGATTTACATCCTCTTTTCTTTTAGGTACGGCCAGTGTGGCCAGAGCGTGGAGTTCCACCTTTGACAACCTGGTTGAGCAGAAAATATCTGGCTTCTTTAAAGCCTCCATGGCAATGAAAGTACCTGGAAAAGTGCTCGCAGAGTACCCGGACCTCTTCGCTCTAATCCTGGTCCTGCTTCTAACAGGTGAGTTTGCTGAGAGCTTCAAAGTTTTATTGGAAAAGTGAGCAAAATCAGTTTGGTTTATACAGCTATAGAGGCCTTATTAGGACTCAGCCAGAACATTTGTCACACCAATCTTGCCGCTCATGTTAGATGCCAGCAGCAGTGTTAGGAAGATCTAATCAGAAGATTCCTGTTTGTCGGAACATTTCTGCCCACGCAGCAGGACACTAAGTCCCTGACCCTGAATATGAATTTCTTCCCCCTCAGGGCTCCTTGCTTTCGGTGTGAGCGAGTCGGCGCTGGTGAACAAAATCTTCACGGGTATCAATCTGGTGGTCCTGGGGTTCGTCATCATTTCCGGCTTCGTCAAAGGCGACGTGCGCAATTGGAACCTGGTGAAAGGCGATTACATGGAGTTCAGAAACGGCAGCAACATCAGCCAGAAACAGTCAGTAAACTGACTCTGTTGGCAAACCTACTTTTATCTGTGTCTGAGTTCTGCTTTTTGATTGTTCTTCCTTTTTACCCTCAGGTTGGAAGAAGAGTTCGGTGATGGTGGTTTTGCTCCATTCGGTCTCACTGGAGTGTTATCTGGTGCTGCCACTTGTTTCTATGCCTTTGTAGGCTTTGACTGCATTGCTACAACTAGTAAGTATAAATAAGGGTAACATTAACTGTCCGAACCTTCTATGCAGACGTATTCTTTCAAGTGGAAAAAAGATCAGTGATCTTTTCCCATGCAGAGACATGTTGGTACCTTCCCCACAGCTGCAGATGCTTCTTTGCATCCTAGCTTTATAAATCTTTTCCTTTTACAACAATTACAATAACATTTAAATTTTCTGCAGTAGATTAACTGAAAAACTGGAGCTCATCTATTAAGTAAAGTCTATGGAGTGTCCTGCATGGATTTTATTGGTGAAATAAATAGAAAACATCTCCATCGAATCTAACTGAGCTCCTGCTGTTTGATGTGAAAAGCTAGCAAAGAACCTCAGCTCAGATGCATGCCACACCTTTCAGATTTTTCACATTTAGTTCAGGATTTCCACAGCATGTTGCTTTGCATGCAGGCTAACTTAATTGCCCTGGGTTTGATTAGGGGTAATAGAGTAAAGGGGGTTTGTACTTGCAAATTTTGAAACCCATCTAATTTCTCCCCACCTCATTATTAGGAATTACTCCATGTTTTTCTGTAATGTAGAATTTAAACTCTGTATATTTAGTTTGGTGATGGAAACATTTAAAGCATGCTGTTTAATCAGGTCTGTTTCCGTTTTACACAAGATGTCAGCATTCTAAGGTGGAACTCATCCTCCTTTCTTTGTTTTCTCCCCTCAGGCGAAGAAGCGAAGAACCCCATGCGCTCCATCCCCATCGGCATCGTGGCGTCCCTGCTCATCTGTTTTTTCGCCTACTTCGGCGTGTCAGCAGCCCTGACCATGATGATGCCGTACTACCAGCTGAACACCGACAGCCCCCTGCCCGAGGCCTTCAGCTACGTCGGCTGGGGGCCGGCCAGATACATCGTGGCTGTGGGTTCTCTCTGTGCTCTGTCCACCAGGTGAGGAAGGAAGGAAACCTTCATCCTAACAACAGAGATTCAATGCTAGTCGCTGCTAGAGGTCTATAATGTGCGCTCTGTTTATCTCCTCATAGCTTACTGGGCTCCATGTTCCCCATGCCTCGAGTTATTTACGCCATGGCCGAGGACGGACTGCTGTTCCGTTTTCTGTCCAGGATGAATGCTCGGACAAAGACCCCCGTCCTGGCTACCATTGTATCTGGTATTGTTGCAGGTAACATATCTCTGTTCCACTGCACGTCTTTGTCCTGGTATTTATTTAGAGGGATGAGTCAGCAAGGTTCGCCTTGCTGCGTTTCTAAAGGTCCCAACTCTCTGCCATAGAAGGAAGCTGACAAACTGTCAGTTCAGGATCAATAAAGCCTCCTGAGTCAGAACTGCAAACTGCATTTTAGATCGTTTTTCCAAGACTCTGAACAATCATTTCTGCAATGGGAGTTTTTGTAAAATCTCGTTTTCTCCTCACAGCTCTGATGGCTTTCCTGTTCGATCTGGCCGCCCTGGTTGACCTCATGTCCATAGGAACCCTGCTGGCGTACTCTCTAGTGGCCATTTGTGTCTTAATTCTCAGGTAATCTTTTTTTTTTTATTTCCAAATCAATTCTTTTATGCATCTGAAGGCTGAACACAATTTATATTGACTTTTACATAAAGTCTATTTTTATTTTTTTATTTCTGGTTGTAAAAAAAAAAATAAAATATTGAAATACCTTTTGTAACTTTGTCAAATGTGTTACTAAAGTTTCAGAAAATAACCTCTCCCCTTTGCTTCACAGGTATCAGCCAGGCAACCTGAATTCTTCCAGTCAGATGGAGAAGCTGGTGGAGCTGGTGGAGGGCGAGAAGGTGGCTGTGAGTGGAGACGACAGCGGAGACGAGTACGGCATGGAGACGGAGGACAGGCCCCTCCGAGAAACGTTCAGCGCCAAGCTGCTCTTCAGTCCGAGTGGGAAAACCCCGACTAAGATCTCTGGAACAATCGTCTACGTCACCACAGCTGTCATTTGTAAGTCTGCCACCAAGCGCTCCATCGATTCATCGGAACCATGGCCCCACCAGTCTAACTTTGTTTCCTTTCTCTCTTTTTTTTTTTTACAGCTGTTCTCATCACCGTTCTGTGCATAATCATGGCAAACTGCCTGTCGCAGCTGCTGGCCGGGCATGCAGGTGTTGTGACGCCCTGCGTCATCTTATTTCTTCTCTGTACCATCTGCGTTATCATCATCTGGAGGCAGCCGGAGAGCAAGGAGGCTCTCACCTTCAAGGTAAGAGAGCGGTCGGTCTGTGAATGTGTTTTGAAAGCTGCACCTTTGAGCTGAGCAGTTTCTAAATACCATCTGTTATCTCAAGGTCCCCCTGCTTCCCTGGTTGCCCCTGTTCAGCGTTTTCGTTAACATCTACCTCATGATGCAGCTGGACATTGGTACATGGTGCCGCTTCACGGTCTGGATGGTTATCGGTGCGTTAAACAGATTCCAATCCTTCTTTTTCACTTCCAGTTCTTTGGTTCATCACTTACTTGCTGCTCTTCCTCGTTCCTCCAGGCTTTGCCATCTACTTCTTCTATGGTATTCAGCACAGCAGCGAAGGTAACAACAGGTCGGGCAAAAACGAGCCGGCGCTGCAGAACAAGAGCCCGATTTACAAGGGCGCCCCCGACGAGAGCGACGTGGAGTCCGGCAGCAGCCCCTGATACGGACCGACTCGCACCGAGGCGCGCTCCCCTAATATCTGCACCCATTCCTGATCGCCTCGGAAAGCTGACCTGAGTTTAAAGGAGGCTAGCAAAACCGCCACACACATCTTACCTCTGAGTCGGAGGCCGATTAATTAATTCGTACTACTTGACCACTAGATGCTGTGACGGAGCCGCTTCCCGCTTAGTCTGAGTTCCGACCTGTTTTTATTATTTAGCCTTAGCCGCACAGCAAACACTCACCTGTTGGCATCACATCGCATTCAATGGATCTGACTAATAACGAACACTGAAGGTGTGTTTTATTCCGTTACATGAAGCTGCAAAATGAAAAACTTTTTAAAATGTTTGTGTTGTTATCGTCCTGAGGTGGATCCACGCTGGGAGTCCCATCGAGTTCACCATTATAAGATGGTTCACCGAGTCCAGAAACAAAGATGCATAAACCTATGAATGTGTGCAGTAAAGTTAGAGCGGCTGTTACTGGTGTGTTTACGCTCTGTGGTGACAGGCTGCAAGGTTTACAGCCTCTGTTATTGCAGGTAGGTCAGTGCTGATGTCTGAAGTCCTCCCTGAATAGTCCTTTTTATTTTTTTATTTCAACACTACCCCACTGCACCCAGAAAATCTCTGAAAACTGCTGTAAATTATATCAGCACTGCAATATTTATGTAGATTTATATTTATGTAGGCATGGGCCGACTAGTACTATGGTTTACTTGGTCTTTACTCCAAATTTTTTAATCACAAATGTGCAACATGGACTTTTATTTAAAACTGAAAAACAATATTGAAATAATTTAATATTGGTTTAAATGTTAACTATTACATGTATTTATCATTATATAAGAAAAATAGCTAAAAATGAATGCAGCAGCAACATTTGGGGGGAGGGGTTTGTTTGCACTATTTTGTGCTTTAAACCAGTATCTGTTGTTTTTGGGGTGAACGGGGCCTTGGTAGGCCACCTTTCTGCCACCCGCTCCTCCAAAAACAATCACAATGACAAAGATCCTCTAAATCAGGGGTGGCAATTCCAGTTCCTGAGGGCCGGTATCCTGAAGGTTTTACATCCTCTCTTTATCAAACACACCTGAAGCAAATGGCTGAGTTACCTGCTCAGTATGCAGTCAGTTTCTCACAAGTCCTCTCAATCAACTAATTACTTGATTCAGGTGTGTTGAACCAAATACACATCTAAAAGTTGAAGGATACCGGCCCCCTGGAACTGGAATTGCCCACCCTTGCTCTAAATCAGGGGTGTCAAACTGGTTCCAGAAAGGGTCGTGTGGCTGCAGGTCTTCTTTCCAACCAAGCAATAGCACACCAGACTCCAGTCATCTCATCAAGTCATCATGTTCAGATTGGACTCACTTGATGAGATGACTGGAGTCTGGTGTGCTATTGCTTGGTTGGAAAGAAGACCTGCAGCCACACGACCCTTTCTGGAACCAGTTTGACACCCCTGCTCTAAATGCTGGGATGGGATGAAACGCATTGCAGCTCTGCAATAATTACTTGAAACAGTCTCCGTAGTCTGTGTATGCAGGGGGAGTCAACTACCTACTTTTTTTTTAAATTATTTCTTGTGTTTGTGCTTCCACACCTCGACCCCAGCCGATGACCCCCTGGGAAGCCACCGCTCCGCAGTTCATAGAAAACTCCGCTCAGTGCAGCTTTCTCCTCATTAAAACTACTCAAAACCATAAGAGTATATCAATACATCCATAACTTTTAAAAATATTTTCTATCAAATATTAATCCCCTGCCTAGATATGAGTTCATTCAACTGGTTTTTATTTATTTGATCTCAGTGTTAACTGGTTTGCATTCATTTTGTGGCCTTTGATTTCAACTTCAGTGAACGCATCAATCTGTGTCGTAAAAACGTCATCCTGCTGTATGAGTTCAAACTGATTTTAGCAATTAACTTTTTTTGTTGACATACCCATCAGTTTATCTACTGTGGCGTGTGATGGTGGGTTGACTTGCATGTTCAGTTTTACCTCAGAAATCTATTTTACCTTCTTGTGTAAAACTCCGGTTCCCCACAAAGCCTCTCCGCTGGTTTCATCTCTAACTTGAACTTTGGACACTTTGTCAGAGGATTTCCCATCACTTCTGCTTTACTTTAAGAACCTTATTTCATTCCTCTCGTTAGAATTGTTCATAATTATTTTTTTTATTGTATTTTCTGTTTGAGAAAGCTTTACTTTTCCCCTGCCTTTATGTCTTTGCGTATTCATTTGAACAGCCTCTTTAGATGTACAGTTTGTAGAGTGCTTATCCTGTTTTTTTTTCTGCATTTATTTTTTCCATGCAATGTTTTGTTTTTAAACAGCGACCAAATTTAATACTTTTTACCCTGCTTTTCGAAACTAATATTGACCACAACGCTGGCGTTTAAATTATTCCAATATTTTTTTATCTCCAGTGTTTTTAGTCAGATTAATAACCTGTTAATAGTTTTTTTTGTGTGTTGTCATAGTAAAAGTGCTTTACTGTAGAGTGTACAGTATTTGTTTAAATATCTTGTATATTGCTGTAAATTTGCAAAACAAACTTTCTTTGACTTATAACCTTAAAGGCAAACTTGATGAGACGGTTTTTGTAAAGTTACACTTGAACTGATGCTGCTGAAGCCCAGACTATAAAAATATTTGAGAATAAAAAGAAAAAAGCTCCCATGGAAGCTTTGAAACATATCTTTAAATTGTTTGAAGATAACCGGTTGGTTTTCGCTTGTTTACGGAAGGTGAGAAAGAACCGTTTGTGAATTTAATTGTGAAACTTTTCGATCTGAACTTTCTGTTTTTCACACTTACTGGCCACTGAAATGTGTTATGAAGGAGCAATGACTCACTGAGCTCGTCACAACCTGCTCTCGTGCCTTTTCGAATAATCGATCCAATCGTTTCCCCCCCCGAACAACAATTGACTTCAGTTTTTTTTTAATATTCTGTACATATGCTTTATTGTGTAAAATGAGCAGCGTTTTAATTATTCTTTCTCTTTTTTTAATAAAAGTGATTGATGCTCTTGGCACCGACGTCTCTGCTTGTTCTTTTTCTCAGAACATTCGTTTTTTTTCGCAGAGTTGAAGCTGAATGTCAGACGTCACAGTTTTACCATGACTCACTGATTACTCACCTTACTGATCAAACACATTTTGGTTGGTTGCAAAAAGCCCTACCTTATGGGAGGACAGCTTTGGCTCTGAAACCAGACAAAAGCAGGACTAAACTAGTTTACTTCCTGATTAAATTTTTATTTCTGCAATAACTTTCAACAGTAGGACATTTCATCTTTGTATAAAAGATATTTCTTTGAGTAAAAGTGTTTTGTTTTTTTCTAGAAGGAAAATAAATGTTAAAATGATTGCAAAACTTTATATGAACTAGTAGTAAAAGTAAAGTTCAGAAACGGAAGTTCATGAGGTACAAACTGTGTTTTGTACCCTTTTTCGTGCCTCTGTTACTTCCTGTTTGGTTTGGTGTGAGAAAAGGTTTCTGTTAAAATATAGTGCTTTGAAAAGTGTTTGCAGCCTTAAAGAACTATTTTTTTTCACACATATTTCATAACATCCATTCTAGTGTTGGATTAAAATATTAAAAAAACGCACTACTGTAAGTAACTGCTCCTCTTCGATTACTCAAATAGAACCTGCCAGACAAAGTAGGTTTAAAGATCTCCTGTAAGGAGCACATTATGTCCCGAACTATAGAGATATAAAAAAAGATTCATAATTGGCTAATCTGGGAAGAAAATTACTCCAAAACAAAGAAAACGGATCAATTACTCTTTTTGGAAGTAACCAGCATTCCAAAATGACTCCAGTCTTGTTTTATTTAAGCCTAGTTGCCATTAAAAAAATAAAATAAAAATGCCTTCCCTGCTAGAAGTCACAAGCCCTGGTCTCAATAGCTTCTTAATGTTTTCCAAAAATAATGTCATATTCTCCTGAGTTTTAGGGGGAAAAAATCTATAAACTGACTTAACAAAAGACTTCCTTTTGTTGAATAAAAAGCGCTTTTAGTCCGGCATGGTGGAGGTAGGGTGATGCTCTGGGCCTGATTTCAGGCTGAAGGACTTGTCATAACTGAGGAAATTATGGATTTTATCCTCTACCAGAAAATCCTATAGCAGACTGTCTCTTGTCCCCACCACGTCTATACAGTGAAGACTCCTATCACTCCTCCTGCAGAGACTTAATACCACAGTATGATGATACCACCTCCGTACCTCACTGATGGGTTGTTCTTTTTAGGCGAACAGCTTTTGTGTAGGCAAAAAAAATTTATCATCCTCACCCAAGAAAAAGAAAAAACATCCAGTGAGCGGCAGTTCTGTGGGCGGAAATGCCTTGTTGATGCCAGAGGTCAGAGGAGAATGGCCAGACTGGTTCTAGCTGATAGAAGGGAAACAGTGACTCAAATAACCACCCGTTACAACCAAGGTGGGCAGAAGAGCATCTCTGAACGCACAGTACGTCGAACTTTGAGGCAGATGGGCTACAGCAGCAGAAGACCACACCGGGTGCCACTCCTTTCAGCTAAGGACAGGAAACTGAGGCTACAATTTGCACAAGCTCATCAAAATTGGACAATAGAAGATTGGAAAAACGTTGCCTGGTCTGATGAGTCTCGATTTCTGCTGCGACATTCGGATGGTAGGGTCAGAATTTGGCGTCTACAACATGAAAGCATGGATCCATCCTGCCTTGTATCAACGGTTCAGGCTGGTGGGGGTGGTGTCATGGTGTGGGGAATATTTTCTTGGCACTCTTTTGGCCCCTTGGTACCAATTGAGCATTGTTGCAACGCCACAGCCTACCTGAGTATTGTTGCTGACCATGTCCATCCCTTTATGACCACAATGTACCCAACTTCTGATGGCTACTTTCTGCAGGATAATGCGCCATGTCATAAAGCTGGAATCATCTCAGACTGGTTTCTTGAACATGACAATGAGTTCACTGTACTCAAATGGCCTCCACAGTCACCAGATCTCAATCCAATAGAGCATCTTTGGGATGTGGTGGAACGGGAGATTCGCATCATGGATGTGCTGCCGACAAATCTGCGGCAACTGTGTGATGCCATCATGTCAATATGGTACAAACTCCCTGAGGAATGCTTCCATCACCTTGTTGAATCTATGACACGAAGAATTGAGGCAGTTCTGAAGGTAAAAGGGGGTCCAACCCGTTACTAGCATGGGGTACCTAATAAAGTGGGCGGTGACTGTATATATATATATATATATATATATATATATATATATATATATATATATATATATATATATATATATATATATATATATTTATTTAACTCTTCCTTCCTGAGTGGCTTTTTAGAAACAAACGGGTAATTATTGTTGATACCATGTTGGTACAGGACTCACTTCACTGTGGATGTTGATGCTCTCTAACTTGCTTCAACCAGAAGCTTCATACAGTCTTGTTTTCACTCTGTGGTTGCTACATACATTTCACACCAGAAGTCCTTTACCTCCTGAGACAGAACCGATCTTAAACCGTCTGAAGGTTGAATGCTGTCTACACCTCAGTGCCATATTCGCATAGTTGAATAAGCCAGAATCTTGCAGGTCCAAATCTCTTTCCTAAGACCCTGTTTTGTTTTTTTTCATTTTCTGTTCTTGTTTAAAGTCACAACAGAAAGTGATTAATTTCAAGTGTTTCTGTAAGATTCATACAAAGGTGTGCCTGCAATCTACTAAAATGCTAATTAATCTTAATGAACATTATCTAAGATCACCCAGTGTTCCACCTATTAGTTTTTACTCCAATCTTTGTTAGATTAGTTGATTTAACAATACTTACAACCCTTTCGCCTGCTGATATAAATACCCTGAATTAAATTAAATTTGATGTTTGAATAATTAATAATCAGCATTCACCACTACCCAAATATCTGCACTCACTGTGCCAAAGATGTGGTTTAATTAACTATGGGTTGCTAAAACACAACTCTGCTGCTATGGTGCATACAAATGGGCCTCCAGTACTTTATTTCTATCTTATTTTAAAGTGTCATTTCTATTTTACGAGGTAAGAACTCAATTTAAGTAAAAGCTTCCCAAAAGAGGCTGAGAGGTAACAAGACAATAACATGTATTTATATGAAAATACAATTCTAACATTGAGGCCTTTGATGATACTAAATATTACTTTTCTTGTTTACATTGAATGGGAAATGGTGTATACTTATATAGTGCTTTTTCAAGTCAGTAGACTTGACCAAAGCGCTTTTAACTACGGTAATTCACCTATTCACTCGTACTGTTGCCACAGCTGCAAAAAGCAGCACCGTCAGGAGGTAATGCCGGTGCAATTATGTCCAAATTGGCTTTTTCTGTTTGATATTTGATTCAGATAGAACCCATCTTAGGATAATTATTGCATTTATGCATCTTCTTACAAATTTAAAGTTTTGTTTCAGAATATATCTGACATTTTACCAATAGAAGTTGCTTTAAAAATGATGAAATTATTCTTTATTTGCTGACTATATATTATAAATTGTGACTATATATTAAAATATATATATTATTCATGCTGCCTAAGTGAAAAGGCTAATTCCAGCTGTTACTTCTTGCCTACCTTTGTTGCATTTTGCAATGAAGACTCCATAAAATCAGATTCTTTAAAGAATGGTTCTGCCATCTAATGGTCATATGTGGGAACTCCATCTGTTCACAGCTATAAACTACAAGAGCTTTGATGTAACTATCAAACATTATGCATTTATTTCACAAACAAAATCGTTATTGATGTTAACAGATAACACTTTAAATGCATAAATTCAGACCCATAGCGACAATAAACTTGATCAGGTTTTGGATTAAAATACACTATATCAAGTGTACTGTGTTATTTATGTTTTCGTCGACAATCACAAACTGAACACATTAAAAAAGTTAAACGCTGAGTTGAAAGAAATATTTTATAGGGAAATAATAAATGTACTTATTACAATTTGAGTTTAAATTGATTTATATCTTTTGAATTAAAGCCATGTTTCTTTTTATCATTGTTTTTTTTTCCATATATAAAAAAATGACTTCTTAACTCTATATCTGCAATGTTATTGGTTGCACAGCTGTCGATAAACATGAATAAGGAAATTATATTCGTTTTGTGATATATTTTGTAAAAATTTGAATTTCCCTTTCAAAATTTTACTGTTTCAGGTGAAATCCCAACGCCTTAGTTTTGATGCAAATGAAAGCTAATTTATAAAAGCTTTAGGCCAGTGGTGAAATGTGAGAGCGATGTAAGCACCTGTGGAGAAAGGAGAATCTATAAAGTAAAGTTTTAAATATCAGAAAAAAGAAATAATGACTTTTAAAAAAAGATTTTGAATGTTATTGTTGTATTTTACAGTTGAAAACTCCCTAAAGAATCTCAAAAGGTTCGTTTTAACATCGGGCTATGCAACTTTTAGGAAATCCTCAGTGTATGTTCCCCACAGCTATCCTAAAAGTTATCTGGAACTTTGACAACATGCTAAAGTTTAATTTGTAACTAAAAATATCAGAAAACATCCACTTAAAACTCCTTAAAGGCTATGAGAAACTGAAGGGAGCCTCGCCTAATGCTCCCTTATAAGTTGCGTACCTACTGTAAAAAAAAATAAACATACCGGTAGTTTATCTGTTACTTGGCCCCTAAATAGGTTTTCTAATTCTTTATTTGTTTACAGTGAGTAAAGAAGAAGCAGCCCCGAGTGTTGAGTTGGCCTTCCCTCCTGGCTGCTGGTTAGCTCTGCATAGTCTGCCACAGAACCCAATATAAAAGAAATTCTTACATTTAACTTAGTTAGTTGACAACACAAGGAGGGACCAGGACACCATTTAATAGCCTATCTTTCTGGGAACATTGCGTATGAGATTTTCCAAAGCTTTTCTGACAGGGAGTTTCAGCATAAATGTTTTGTTTTTGTTTTTTTTTTGTAAAATCAGGGAACAATCCTCAAAGCTTCCTAGAAGCTTTTACTTTGAAAAGCAGCTCTTTTGGGGTAAGACTCCTTAATAATTCAGTCCATTTCCTTTTTTGTGCAGCTCCACAAAAAATATTATTGAATCTCTTTTCTGTCATATTGAATAACTTGTTTTATGTAATCAGAATTTACAACTCACCACTAATATTTTACCCCAGAGAAGAGTTTAGGATTGATTTCTAATGAAGTACTCTGCATAATTTGTAAGCTTTTATGAACTGATGCCATAGTGTGTGGTGGAAACATTAAACATGGCTGATTAAACAGGAATAAAGGTGATTTGAATGGTTCAAATGTAATGCAATTTAGATGTGTGATATATAGCCTACTAGAAAAAAATATATTACTTTATCTTTTTGGCTAAATACAGAGAAGAATTGCCACAGCACATAGGGTTTGCAGGGTATACTGTAGTATATAAATTAAAGAGATGCACAGCATGAAACTACCTCTTTTTAAAACCCTTTTTTAGGGTGGGGGGGTCTACGCAAATGCATACACTCTTATCAGATCCATCAGAAACATTCGTAGGAAATTTATCCTTTTTGCAGTCTTCTTATGATCAAGTCTTAAAGGCAGTCAGTGAGCGGCTACAGAAGATTATCCAGCGGTTAGAGGAAACCTCTCAGCTTGGCTTGGTTGGATGTTTCTCTTGTCCTGCATGTTTAGAGCCAGTCATAGTCATAGCACAGGCGGACACTTGAGCAGTCAGGATTATTTTCTATAATTCCTCTGTAACGGGTTTTGGTGCAGTGAGGTTCAATCTTGGGACCAAAACTGAAATCATGTTGATAAAGAGCAGATGGACACCAGTCTAGCAGTTTGAGTCTCTGGCTACAACAAATCCAGCCCCAGGAGGGATCACTAGAGAAAAAAGGCCAACGGTGGCCGCAGTTTCCAAAAGCTTCAGAAACACATAAACATGCAGATGAAATGGTGAGAGGTTGGGGTGCTTCTTGTGCTTCTATATCTGTCAGGAATCTGAGCTTAGCTTTAAACGGATGATTTTTTAGAGCCATACATGTGAGAGTAAAGTGAGTAAGTCCCAAAAACGATATATTTATACCACCTTCCAGCTCAGGTGCTGCATTCATCAGCAGAAACACTGCCGACTTCCTTTTGTGACCTCCTCAGAGGAATGGACCGTGTTGGGAACAAATCCGCTTTTCACGCCTTCCCAGCCATCCTGGATCTGGATGTCACCGTTCCGGACCAGCTCGAAGATTTCCCTCGTCAGATCCACGAACGCCTGAGGTAAAATAAAGGTTCAGTCAGAGCTGAAGGTGGTTAGGAGGATTTGTGAGTTTAGTTTTAAGATTTAACTATCAAAGAAGGAGCAATACTTGAACCTATCTACCAGCACTTTCTTTAACGTCTCACTTTAACTTTCCAATCATTCCACAAATGTGTGGCAGAGGTAGACATGCAGTTCTCAAATTATATTTCAATTTATTTAAAGAACATATGTTTTTTTTTTCCATTCAAACTGACCCTATTTGAAAAAGTTATTCTCTTAAAACTCACTACTCGGTGGGAGAATAAAAACTTGAAGTCTCTGCATTGAGTCTCCCATATGAGGAGGAATGTTGCCACACTCTTCTGCAATGATGGAGAGTTTAGGGGCATAGTGGACAGGTTGAGGTCAGACCAAATCATTTTTGTGAGTTTTTAATTCTAAATTTTGACAAGGCCACTGAAAAACCTTTCACCCATCGATGCTGGAGGTTAAGATTACTGCACATCTCCTTAACTGTCATTATAATGCTACTTGTTTTTGTCTTTTATTGTTGATGTCTTATTCCCATTTTTGCCAATTCAATCTGCTGAATATTTCTCAAAAAGTCTATGAAATCATTAAAATGATCTGCTAGCAAATACTAGATAGTGTGTCATGATCTTGGCACTTATGACTTAATGGTTCATTCCATTCACCTGTCTGGCTCTGCCCAGTTTCACATCGCAGTTTATCTGTTTCACCTGCTCTAGTCTCTATTTCAACTGCTTGCTTCCAGCCGTCAGTGCCAGATTATTCAACCATTCGGTGAGAGTTCTCTAGCGTAACTGTTTATTGCCTCATCCTAACCCGTTCTGCCTCTGGACCTCTGAACCTGCCTGTTCCTTTTCTAATCTGTTTGCCTGACTTGTCTTCGGACTCCTGCTGGATTCTGCCTGTGGACTGAACATGGATCTGCCTCCTGGCTTCGAGCCTTCAGTACCTCTTCGGATCTCTGACCTTCTGGCCCGAAACTCTTCGACACTGGCTTTGTCTGCTTGGTTCTGCTCGTCATCCAGTTCTGCAGTCTGCAAGGCTTCAGCGCGTGGAACTCCCTGGGCTGCGTTCACCGCGTGCTCCTTCCTTTGTGCACAGAATTAACTCTAAGGCCCGGTTAGTGACTCACGTACTTGTAGTCGTCCTCCGTCAGATTGATGTGGTCACTAACCTGAGTTTTCCCACTGCAGAGATACCGGCCTTAGCTGCTGAATTGCAGATCTGATGTCCCTTAATAAACACTTTTGAGAAGTTCGCCTGTCTATTCGATTTGAATTCTGGGTTCTCTGTTCTGAGCCTTGACAGATGGGTCTTTGTTTTCTGTTGGGTTAGCAGTAGTAAGGCCTAGCATCTTTGCCATAGAGGCCATATTTGCCTAGTTTGTCTCTTACTGTTGAATCATAAACATGAATCTTATTTGAGGTAAGTGAAGCCTTAGGTGCTTTTTTAAGTTATTCTTTGTTGTTTTGTGAACAAAGAGTGATTACGTTGGCTGCTCACTGCTGCTCCATGTTTCTCCATTTGTGGATAGTGATTCTCTAGTTTCTTGGAGTTACAAAGCTTTAAATAGGTCTTTGTTTCTTTTTCTTGCAGAAGGTTTTCAGTAACTTTGTGTCTGGCTTCTTTAATTGTCTTTAGATTGAGTTATGATGCTTTGCTTATTTTTGAGATCTTTATGCTTACTTCATGTTGCCAGACAGTTGCTACTTCACACTCTCTTGAGTGGTAATAATGAAATGAAGCTTAACTTTCAAATTTGGTTAATCACAATAATAATGTCAATACTAAGGTAAATACTTTTTCATATACGGCCAAGTTAGCATGGAGAAATGTTTTCCTTTAATAAATAAAAGGACCGTTTGAAAACGGAAACTTGTCTGATAATGTTTTGACAATCACATTGATAGAAAAAGAAACCTCTCTACATTCAGACCTTCTCCACATTAATAGCATCCCGCGCTGATGTCTCCACGTAACGCATCCCGTAAGCCCCCGCCAGCTTCTCGGCCTCGTGCTGGGTCACCTGACGCTGGGCCTCCAGGTCACACTTGTGGCCAACCAGCAGGAAGACGATGCTGTGCGGCTGAACGTGGCTTCGCGCCTCCTCCAGCCAGTTATGGACGTTCTGGAAGGAGCGGCGGTTTGTGATGTCGAAGAGCAAAAGGCCACCCACTGAGTTACGGTAGTAGGCTCTGGTGATGGACCTGAATGGGTAGATGAATGTTGAATTGCTGGTTTAACTGATTTATTTCTACAAACATAACATGAGGCATCTTACAGAGATTTTTAGTTTATAAAATTAGATCACATTTTTTCCAGTTAATTCAATATAATTTATTTTTCTGGTGCAAAACAATAGAATTTCATATTTTCTTGTCAGTTAAAATCTAAAAGGTTTGGTTTGAATTTGTTTTAAGAAAAATCCTTTAATGTGGATTAAATTACCATTTTGAACAACATTTCTTTGCAATTAAAGCTGTAAGTCTATCAGGTTATGTCTCCATCAGCAGCACACATCTACAGATTTTAATTTATGACCATCGTTTTTTAAAAACTTGTCTAATTATGTCAAAGATATCTGATTTCCGACAGATTCTAAAGTGGATTTTAGTCTGGAATTTGACTGCACCTTTTAAGACAAAAAAAATGCAAACTAAGCTATTATATAAGGCAGGGAATCCGGAACTGATTCACCAACCATCTATCAAAACAAATAGAAAATGGGAAAAAGAGAAAGACAGAAAATAAATTATAGCAAATAAGAGCTGACATATTTTTTCTTCTAATGTCTGTGGTTGAAAACCAGGAGCCTTAATCTTATGACGCCCTGCACAAATTTGATTTAAGTTTTAACAATACTGAGGATTACACGTATTTAGAAAATATAAATCCAAGAAAAAAAAAATACATTTACTTTTTTTAAATTTGATGATAACCTAAATTCATCCTCGAATAAAATATGTCAAATTACACATACTTTCATGTTAAGATCAAGGGATGAAAACATTAGTGACACATGGTAGAGAAACTAATTTCCAAACTGGGGGCAATGAAACTAATGCAAAAATGCAAAACCAATTAAAAAATCAATGAACAGAACAGCAAGATGTGAAAAGAAAGGTAAAAAAAAAAGATACTTCACTGTACATAAAGAGTAGCGCTAAATATGTCACAGCTAAAACTGAAGAGTTGGGCACAGTTTTCTCAGAAAGACGTCTGAAACAGAAAGAATTATATTTTTCATATTATTTCATCCAGAAGACGTAAGACTGGCAATGAGGAGACAATTTTTCTTTAGTCTGAAGGTTTTTTTGTTTGTTTTATCTATATTTTAATCCTCTAAAGAAGGTCATTTATGGATTTCAGTGAACAAACCATTCTCATTGCAAGGATATGAAGAAAATTAGCGTATGATAGTGAGTGTTGGCCCAGTGGTTAAAGCAGTGCGCTTGTGCTCTGGGAAGGTGGCAAGTTGCTGGTTCGATCCCCACAGCCTGCACCTTGGCCCCTTGAGCAAGACCCTTAACCCCACACTGCTCCCTGGTCGCTGCACAGTGGCAGCCCACTGCTCCCCAAGGGGATGGGTTAACTGCAGAGGTAAATTTCTCAAATGTGGGATCAATAAAGTTAAATGATTTTTTTTATTATTATAAATCACATTTTCATTTATATGTGAACATTTCTTGATAAAGTAAACCAGGGTGTTATTTTTCTGAAAAAAAGAAGGGAAAAAAAGAATGTCCCAAATAACAGAGTTTGCAAAATCATTGCAACTACAGGAAAAAAATGGCTTCATAGCAGGAAAAGAAAAATGTGTCTACCTGAACCTCTCTTGTCCTGCAGTGTCCCAGATCTGAAGTTTGATCCTTTTTCCAGGCTCAATCTCCACCAGGCGAGAGAAGAAGTCCACCCCCACTGTGGGGTCTGACACCTGGGCGAAGCGACCCTCCGTGAACCTGCGGATCAGGCATGACTTGCCCACAGTGGAGTCTCCGATGACGATCAGACGGAACTGGTAAAGCCATATCGTCTCCATGACTCAAGACTGTAATCTGTAAATGAGAACAATATCAGGAGGTGTCTGACTGCACATAAAATGAAATAATGCAACCATTTTTGGCATCTACTTTATCGTATTTAGATACTTTAACACAATTGTTTCATGTAATCAGCCTAGGACATGAAAAAAAGTGGTTACATGATTTTTTCCGGCATAGATTTAATGAATAATTCCATTTTTTTTATTATTATTATTTCTGAGTAGTTTTCTGGTTAATTTAGTCATTTATATTTCCAAAAATATCCTCTTCTATTTCTGAAGAGAGAGGTGAAAAATAGGAACTTTCTGGCAGGCATGGAAAATAACCTTTATGTATGAAAAACATCATGAAATATAACAGTGGCCGCATCATCCTGTGGGGTTACTTTATTCAGTAGAGACAGAGAAGCATATCAGTGATTACACTAAGACAGAGGAAGTCACTGTATATAAATCCTAGAAGAAAACATGCTGTAAAAGATATTGGATGGGGAAAGTTTTACCTTCCAGCTGCATTAGAGAGGTATACATCACAGCATATAAATAAGTCAGAACAACTCAAATTCCAGGCCTATGTTCTAATGAAAAGTGATGATCATAGATGGTTTTCTTCCAATCTGATTGATCTTGATGGTTTGCAAAGTAAATTGAAAAAAAGGTAGAGAACTATTCCTAAAAGATGTAAAAAAAAAATATATATATATATTTTTAAGTATTTCATATATTTACACACAGTACTTCCAGATGTGCCTCCACTTCATAGCTACATATTACTGCATGTCAGCCTCTGATGTAAAGTGTGACAAGTGTGAACATGTTCTATAACACTTATAGACACCCCTGCAAGATATGTTTCTAAAAGAAAGAAAAATAAATGCATTTCTTCCAATAGATCATAATTTTAAATGAATTGAAATAATGAAATTCAATTAAGAGTTTACATCTCTGGAATAATTCTGATAAGCTCTTATCATCTTAGCCTCTGTGCATGTGATTCACACAGGGGTGATCTAATTTGAGGGAAAAGGAGGGTGGGGGAGGCCACTCCCCTCCAAGTCAATAAACAGTGGTGTAGTCAGCCCCCCATGTGGATTGTAGAGTATCTGAGAGGCAGCAATCACACAAAATGAGGGGATGGAGTAAGCCACATATAGCTTTCATGAAGAAATAATGCATAAATAGCAGATTTTTAAAAATGGTAATCTGTGTACATTGTCAGAGGCACTTTGTATTACATGCATTTAGGACACATATTTGTCTTCAAATGAGAGCCTACCTTGATTCAGAGCTCAGGGTCTGTAAAAAACAAGCTCCATGTTGACGATGGTGTCTTCTGAAAATGACCCCTGAGGCTGTCGGTGGCTGTGATGCAGCAATTCACAGAGATAATCCCCCTAAGATGCAGCACATGAACCCGTCCAGCATCAAGGCTTTAAAGAGGACAGACAGAATCCAGCTGGTGAGTGTGCATATCAGCTGATGATGGGAGCTGCTATTATTTCCGTGTGAGCTTCCGAAATGGCAGCATCACCACCAGACGCAGCCGCGGCATCACGCACAAACATCTCCTCCTCGCTCTCATCAGCACCAATCCCCTAACTGCGCAGACAGTGGCGCAGCTGCAGGATCTTACGATGCTGCATTCAAGTGTTGCAGGAAAAAAAAATGCTGGAAAAAAAAAAAACACAGACTACACGGTGCAGCTGCATTAAGCTTCACCACATGTACAAAAAAATTATGTTTAAACAACTTTCACATTTTAGGTAATATGTATTCTCACACATTATATATATATATAAAAAAACATTGAATTATTCATATTAATCTACATAGTATATAAATATAGACTGTAGATCTATTGAATGATCATTTTGCAAAACTCAATCAACCAATAAAAAGTAAGAAAGCAACACACAAACATAGTGGCATTAATTAATCTAAATGTAATTGTTACAGCTGGCCCACTCAGGTAATAGTGAAGTTTTTGTGAAACAACGCTGAGTCTGATCCGAGCAGTACTTGAAAGCACCAATTAGTGTAAGGGATGTCAGAAATAGTGGGGTAAATCTTTCCATAGACACCAAGGCTGCTTCATTCAAGGACTGTCGGGACAAATTGTTATGTAAAAAGTAAGCACCTGTGGAAAATAAGATTGCAAGTTGCAATCTTATTTTCCACAGGTGTTTACTTTACTATGTGCTGCAATTTGCAACACATAGTAAAGGAAAAAGCTTCATTTAGGCTACTATTTATCTTTCAAATAATTTATAATTTTTTTAAAAACAAATCGGCTACGTCAAAATTAAACCTTAGTCAGACGAGTTCCTTAATCATGTTTCTACATTATGCTTACCTGCCTTGTATCTCTACTTAACTAATATATATATATATATATATATATATATATATATATATATATATATATATATATATATATATATATATATATATATATATATATATATATATATATATACATATATATATATATATATATATATATATATATATATATATATATATATATATATATATATATATATATATATATATATATATATATATATATATATATATATATATACTAATAATAATATTTATTATAGTAATAATAATAACAATAATGAAGATCGTTATTTAATAATGAGATTGATGCCTAGATTTACAAGCTGCACTTGAATGCACCACTAACTAGAAGGCTGTTAGACATCGTAGAAACTCCCATAAATGTTTCCCTTCAGCGTGATCTGCGCAAAACCGTCAACGCTGTATTATTTTGGGTTTTTTGGGGGATTATCTCTCCTGCAGATAGGACTGATGTAAGGTTTTATTTTTTTATAGTTTGATGGAATAACTAACAAGACGATTTCCCATGACTTTTCATGCAGGTTTATTGTACTGCATCAAGTTTTCTTCATATATTTTCTTTTTTTTTTTGGCAAATTTATTTCCGAGCTGCAGGGATGCAGCTGGAGCTTCTTTTCAAAGTCTTGGTGGTGGGGGACCTTGGTGTTGGGAAAACATCTATTATCAAGCGGTTTGTCCATCAGGTTTTCTCCCAGCACTACAGAGCGACCATTGGTGTGGACTTTGCCCTTAAAGTTCTGCACTGGGACAAAGACACTGTGATCCGGCTTCAACTGTGGGACATAGCAGGTCTGTCTGAGGTTTTACAGCATTAAAGAAAATAAAACACAGTCGATATTTATAAAATACTTTCAGATAATTAAAAAGGACTTGATGCTGAGGTTGTAACTTCTTCCTGCCCTCTGCATGCCTCAGCCTCTCCCTGTATTTGATACCTGCTTGTGGAATTTGTCTTGTGTCTGACACTGACTCAAGTTGTCCCATGATCAATAAAATCAATCACATGATGGCAACCACTATCTAATAAGCCCTCAATCTCACTCACATATGATGTGGCACTTTCTGTTTTTGTTTCAGGACAGGAGATGTATGGGAACATGACCCGTGTCTACTACAGGGAGGCAGTGGGAGCACTGGTGGTGTTTGATGTGACAAGGGCCTCCACATTTGAAGCAGTGTTAAAGTGGAAGGATGACCTGGACTCTAAGGTGCCACAATCCGAGGCTATTCTTTTTAGGAGCTTTTTAGGAGAGGAATTATATTACTCTTAATTTCGGTTGCATCTTTACCTCAATTTTCTGCAGTCTAAATTGCATTGTGAGTTAGCCATTCCGTGTTCTAATATTTGCACTTATCGATATCTAACCTGACTCCGCCAGATGGATTTGCTCCGCATATCCATCTGGAAACCTTCCGTTGAAGTAATTTTGGGAAGAGGCGAAAATACTGGTTAGCTGATTGGCCTATGTTGGTGATAGACGGGCCAAATAAACCAATCAGATCAACGAAGCATATGACGTACTAACTCTTGCCGAAACCAGTCGGGAGAAGAGCAAAAATATCTTTTCCTCTGCTCTCTGTTTTGTTCTTCTTTCAGTGAAGAAATACTCTGTAATTCCGATAAAACTTGCTCAATAGCCACGCTAACGCTAGTTTCATCGGCTGAAGCCGCAATGTTCTTTAGACTGAACTGTTGTGTCACACCTCAAACCGCCTCATAGCCAACGCTGATTGGACCTTCGTTTGGTGAACTGCTCCAAATTTTCTTTAACGGAAAGTAGCCAGACTGATCTGCGAGTGAAACCTTGAAAGCTCGCGAGATCAGGATGGTCTCACAAGGCTAATTGATATCTATAGTGACACAGAAATAAAGTTGCGTTTCATCAGCTTAGATATAAAAAAGATATTCAGTTCATGTTGGTTAACATGAGACCTTGCGTTAAACTTTTAGGAATCTCATCTTTGTTCTGTTCTAACATACTAATTATAATACATATTTTTATATAAATCACTATGTTATAATCAACTGTGTCAAACAAGCAATGAAATCCAATAATAATTTAAATTGCATTGCTGTTAGAGGTCTCAACTATCTAAGTATAAATAATGTGTCACTTTACTTAAAGTGGCATTAATGATTTCAAATGATACTGCCACCTGTGGCCAAAATACAAAACTGCAGCACTCTTCTGCTCATTGTCGGTCGTGCACACTCGTGCTTAAGCTGGTCATACAGTGCACAATTTTTTTGCACTTTTCATTCTCTAGTCTGAGAATTTTTCAATCAGGCAGAGTTTCAGCCTCGTCGTGCGTTGTGTAGTATACGGTGAGTAATAAGCCTCTAGGGGTGATTAGCCTCTCATGACCACCTCCCGATCAGGAATCGTAAGGTCGGGAGAAAATCAAACATGTTTGAAATTCAGCCGGCCGTCGTAAGATCGCATCAGAGCGTCGGGTGAACAGTGTGAGAAAATACACTCTGAGCTGTGAACTTTTAAACCCTGCGATTTCGTCATACAGTTTGAGCTGTAGCTCAATTGAAAATATCGCACAGTGTATGCCCGGCTTTAAAGGTATAATGGAGAATTTTTGCGAATTGTTGAAAACTTAAAAAATAAATGCACATGCACAACCCTGTACCCGCTCCCAAGAGTGAACGCCAATTAAACGCATGCAAGAGCATGCAGGAGCCCATTTCTTCTCGAGGAGGTGCGGGGATGCAATAAGCCAGTCGCTCAGATGGATCTCATCTCACCAGTGTTTATTTATAAAAAGTTACCCTGCAAATAAGACTACTGGTACAATAAAAATAACAAAACATGCTTGTATGTGTGTGTGCACAAGCCCTTATGCACGCTCTTTTTAAAAGTTGCTATTTCCATCGCTCATAATGTGAAAATAGGCTACATATAGGCAGTGGCGCCTCCAGAAATGTTTCATAGGCATGGCCAGATGGGGCCATGAAAATTCTTGGGGTGGCCACTGAAACTAAAAGCCATTACTTCAGGGTTTGAATCTACTATTGTGGTAAACCTGCCTGTAGAAATCATAAAGACGTCAGTAAACACCTACTCAGATCCTGGTTTATTGTGTGATTTCTAATGTTACGTCTCTGGCTGAGCATAATGGGACGAAATGCTAAACTGATGCTACTACAATTTACCCTGGCAAGTAGGGTGGCCAGTGGGGTGGACACGGCATTGCACAGGGTGGCCGTGGCCACCCCCTTGTGGCGCCACCGAATATAGGTCCTACATGAGTTATTTTCTAGGTATGTCAAATTTAGACTCTAAATTGGCCTGTGAAAATCTGAACCAGAGTAAAGAGAAGCATACAGCAAATGAAATATCTCAAGTGAACATGGCTGAAAATACATGGGTACCATCACATCACGCTGATTTCAGGTCATACAGTGTTAACAGTTGCTGACTAGAATGATGGTGATGATGGGTCCTATGTTGGAGGCACATTCAGATTACTGATATATTTAGCTTTTAGCTTTTTGTCTTGATTATATTTTCATTTAAAAACAACACTGGAAAAAAAATCAAAATCTAGATAAGTCCTTTTTTCTTTAAATGAGTGCATTTGCTCTTGGACTGAGAAGGTAAATAAGACACTTTGCCAATGGAACAAGACAATTTGCACTTAAAATAAGAAAACACAATTACATTGTCTTATTTCAAGTGCATGTTATCTAATTATCTTATTTTAAGAGTAAAAATTTTCATTCCAATTCAAATTAAGGGTAAATACACTTAATTTAAGACATTTTTACCTATTTCTAGATCCCTTTTTCCATTGCAAATTGAAATACTGAGCATATCATGTTTTAAAAATGTTTCTTTGTGAAGAAAAAGCTGTTCAACTACAACTTTCGGAGTTCTAATGAGTAAGTAAGTAAGTAAGTAAACTTTATTTGTATAGCACTTTTCACAGACAAAGTCACAAAGTGCTTCACATGATAACATAAAAAACAACACAAGTAAAAACAGATAAAATGCAATAAAAGCTATAATAAATAAGGGAATAAAACAACAGGCTATGTGCTTTGGAAGGCTAGTGAAAACAGGTGTGTTTTTAGCTGCTTTTTAAAGATGTCCACCGAGTCCAGAGAGCGCAGGGACAGGGGGAGTTCATTCCAAAGACGGGGTCTCCTCGGGTTTTAAAACGGGTCCGAGGAACCATAAGCAGGTTTTGACCTGAAGACCGTAGACTGTATGAGACTCTGAGCAGTAGTTACTTTCTTTTTTGCAAATATAGAAAATGATTCAAAAAACAAAAAAATGATGTTAATGTTCTGCCGTTTCTACTAAGAGTGAGTCAGATTGCAAAAGTTGGATGGGGTGACATCTAGTTGTAGAAATAACAAATTGCATGCATTTCATGCAAATTGCTGCGTGTCTCATCTTTCCTTCCAAGAGTGTAAAACATCAACTGTTATTAAGTAATAAAGATGGCAAACAGTGTAGCATTTTGTAAAAAAAACAAAAAATTGCGAAGTGTAATTTTATTTTTTTAAGTATAGTTTTACACATTTCATGATAAAAAATATCTTGTTTATCTTGTACTGTCTGCTTTCTATTCTTTTGCATCACAAATATTCTTAATTCCCTCAAGTCTATTGAAGTATTTTGTGAAATACTCTCGAGTTTTGTGAGCATAATGTTTTCTCTTCAAAGGTATGAACTTATGTTTTATATAGAGAGGATACAGTATACAATCATTTTATATGGAAATAACTTCCACAACTAACGCAGAACTAAAAACTCAAGAATAAATTTAATTGCAGCATTTTGGAAATGCACCCTTTACTTTTATAAGCCGAGTGTCGTTGAAAGTAATATATATTATTAAAGCAAATACTGTCATGTAGTGATGGGTCCAGTAACACCAATGCATCGGTGCATGCCTCGAGCCCAAAGAGCAAAACACTGTATCGGTGCGCTTGTCGTTTTTAAGAAAGTCATGTGACTGATACAGGAGTTGTTTCCAACTGTCTGACCCACTAAACTGTGTTTAACAAACATATCTGTCAACACGATGAATCTGCTAAAAAATGTCTCATCTTTTGGGGTTTATCATTAAAATTATCAAGAATTTTGGAGCAGACTAAAAGGAATAGGAACGTTTCAGCTGTTGCGTTTTTATTTAGATTATCTGAATTAAAAGTTCATTTCAAATTTACTCTAAGATAATTACTGTTTTTACTGTACTTATTGTTTTACAGAATTACTGTAAAAATAGATGTACTCAAGTAATGTAGTGAAAAGTATAAGCAAAAAGTAGTGCAGATGGAATGACAGTTTTTTTTTACATTTTAGTAAACTTTGAAGGTTAAATTCACTTAAAATAAAATAAACAACCAAGTTTAGGATAAATTTAAACTGGCTTTGTGAAACAGGCGTATCCTATTGGTGTTGATGAACAAGCCAAGGCAAGACCGACTTTGTAGTCAGTAGGTGGGGTCAAAACACTTGGTTTCTCACGCTCGTTTTTTTAGCGAGAGTAACTAAACCAAACATTGAAAATGTATCGGAGTAAAAGTATGCAATTAAGTTTGTAAATGTAGTGAACTAAAAGTAAAAGCTGTCAAAAAAATGTATACTCTTGGAAAGTATAAGTTCATAACTTCCTTTTCACACGGGGTATAATAAGAAATTGACATAGAGGCACATTGCTAGAGCAGATATACAGTAACAGAGATTTAACAAAATATTATGAAGTATTTTTTTTTTTAAGTTTTGTTTTTTATTGAAATAATTCTCATAACTGCTGACCAGCTTTTGTTCATTTTCACTTGTATGTTGAAAGATTGTCTTTGATAGTGTCCTTCATGTCTCTGAGCTCGGAGAGCCTTTTGCCATCGCCCTAATCTTTAGCTGCCTCCACAGATTCTCCATCAGACTGAATTCAGAATACTCTAAAACATTAGTATAACTTCCATTCATAAGAAACATAAAAGATGACTTTAAATCAAAATCTAACATACAGTATGTTTGAAGAGTCCAGTTAAAATCAAGTATAAAGATAACATCACCACAGATGGTACAGTTATAATGTAATCTAATTTCTATGTTTCTCAAGTTGACTTTGAACCATGGGAGACCAGTTCCTGCAGTACTTCTTGCCAACAAGTCAGACCAAATAGCGTGCCAGCTGCCCAAACTGGATTCCTTCGGCAGAGAGAACGGGTTTGTAGGATGGTTTGAGACTTCTGCAAAGGTAACACCGCTTATGACATCATGCCTGCATCATCCTGACCCATGCTACTGATTTTTATCCATGACTGCACCAGTGTATTTAAAGCCTTCTACAGATAGGAATTGAAAAAATACCAATAAAATGATAAAAAGTTAGTTTGTAAATAAAACATTTGGAGTTGCCACTAAGGCACAAGAATGTGGCCTTAAAGTCGATTGATTTGCTTAAAACAAAAGTTACTTTCGAAGCTCGCAACAGACAAATCGAAGATAAGTCTAGCTCCCCCTTCTGATTCTGTATGCCAGAAGAATTATGTCACAATTTAGTTCAAGTTGCAAAAAATATATCAAAACAATTTCAAAACAAAATATTTAATTTTTATTAAAATTAATTTCGGACTGTCGTGCTGACTGATGAAAGTGGAATTCAGGCTCAGATGATGATCAAAAGTTAACTCTGCACACATAAGGAATACATTTATGAGAAAATAGAAGAATCTTCAACAAAATAACTCAAATTCATGTCAACTTAACTAAGTAACTGAAAGTCAACTAAAACTGGGTAGCTACTAATTACACATAGAATGGTTGAAAACCATTACCGATAAAATTATGCAATGATATCAAAGTTTTGTTAAAATTTTATGTTTGTAGAACAAATTTTATTATAAAAAATTTGAAAGGAGTTTTAATTAGCTTTTAAACTACTATAGAGTTATTGGAATGTCTTTAATCCAATTAGCTCTTTTGAAAGTGTCTTTCAAAGCGGAGTAGGGCTGGAATCTGCAAAGCAATGCAACCTCCATTAATGTTTAAACTTATTATCATGGCTTACAGTAGTATACTTGTATATAAAGGACATTTTTTAAAATTTTCTTTTGTATTCTGATCATCAGGAAAATACAAACATCGAGGAGGCAGTCCGCTGTTTAGTGGAGCATATCCTGAACAACGAGGAGTACCTGGTGACAGAGCGAGAACCCAACTCCATACCTCTTTCTGAATACGCAAGCAGCACAAGTCGTGATTTGAACTGTTCTTCATGTTTAAAATGACGGCTGCAGAGAGGAAGTACTTTAAAAAAAAAGCCAAGAAGGAGGAACTAAAAAGAAACTCCTTTTTACAGATTAAGAGTGAAATTACATGTTTTTAAAACTAAGCTCACACTGCATATCATTGCATAGCTTGTAGAAATTCAGCACCAGCATTTGGTTTTTAATGGTTTTTTTGTGTTGTTTAGTTGCCATATTTTTAACCCTATTCCTACACCTAACCCATGATAAGGGACAGGGTTGGAACATTAAACAAGCGTAACAAGAAAAAATGTTTTGTTTCCTGTGATTTTTTTTTTTCATCTTTTCTACAGCATCTTGCATTTAGGCTTTCAAATTTTAAAATGGGATCCACAATTCTCTCATTCACACATAATTATCTGGTTTTCCGATTATTTATGTCTTGATATTAGCTGTTGAACCAGGAAGTGAAACCTCTATTTTTATACATAATTTAGATCGAAATCTCTTTCAACTTGTTAATATTTTAATATTTATGTAGAGTTTGAAATATTTTCTCAAATTAAGAGGTTACTATTCTGCATGATTACCTATGTATTACCCCTATAAGACCTGATAGTAGAGTTAGATATAAAAAAAAAGGAATAGATGATACTAAAGGTGTTAATTAACTGTTGAACAGGAAAAGCTGATCTACCAATCTAATGAGAAGAAACTCAGAAGTATAATAGTCAAAAGTAAATGTTAGGTACTGCAGCATTATTGTTTCTATGACAACTCCAGTCTGAAGACAATGCAAACATCCTTGAAGAGATGGATCTTTGCTGGAGAGAAAAGCAAAGTCTTTGACACCTGACTTGCTGTCAGACTGTTGCTCTGTTTTTGTTGTAAGTCGTTGTTTGCAGCCATAAAATCAATATCCTGCCAAATCCCACTTTGTTCTTTCTTTCTTTTAAAGTAGCAGAGAAGCAGCCTTCTACCTTTGTTGAAGTGTATCTAGAGTGTTTTTGTAAATATCAATTTTCTTGTTTAAGTATTGCTTTGTATTTTGCCTCTAAACCAGTGATGTGTTTAAGTTTCAGATTGCAGAGCTACAAATCAGTGACTATGTTCTTTGTGCGCACCCCATATAGCAATACATTGTGTTTTTTCTGGCCTTTTTTTATTCTTAGGAGGTTGTCATATATTTACAGAACATTTTATAAAATAATTTCTCCTAAAAACAGCAGAAAAAAGACTGTCTGCAACAGTAGTTCTGATGAACTTTGATTTTTAAAACCCTCTCCTTCACTGCAAATAATAGAAATCTAAATCTGTCATCTTTTCTTAAAATAATTGCATTTTTTTCTTGAAATTACATCTAAAATAAGAAAAAAATAAAACTGCATTGTCTTATTTCAAGTTCATATTATCCTTTTGGAAGAATAAAAATATCCTGTCCATTTGCAAATAATCTTATTTACCTGTCTGATTAACCAAATTAAGGGAAAATACATTTTATTCAACACATTTTTACTTATTTCTAGATAATTTTTGCAGTGTAGTTCAATATGTTTCTAAAAAGTAAAGAAAGAAAAACATACATTTTAACACCACAGTGAGAAATAAACCTAAAAAAGAATCTGAAGGAAGGGATTTAATCATACCTTAAAATCTTAAATTTAACGTTCATGATGAAAGAAAAAAATCTGTTTTATTACACGGTTAATAGAGCTTCATCCCTGTGACCAGAGGACATTAAAAGCAACAAAACGGCTGAATTGGGAAAACATGATTATGCTGAAAATATTCCAACAGAGTGATTTTGAATTTCTATTAGCCAAACTAATTTCATACCAAATAACAAGATTCTGAGCCTCTTTTATTAAAAACACACATTTTATTCAGCCTGCCATTTATGCAGTACAAAATATGAACACCTGACCTTTCTCACATAATAGTCCAAGCTGTGGGCTTTTAACTCAATAAAAAGGACCAAAGAGCTGATTTAGGCAAAAATCATTTCACAAATACCAATCTTAAGCAATATAAGCATAACTGTTCATATTTAGCACTGTAATGCATTTTAACGTTCTTTATTCTGTGAGTAAAACTTTTGACTTCAGCCATATTTTTTGGCAGAATGCATTTCGATAAAATGCATTCTGCATTATGCATTATAATCACTTAATGTTTGATTTTTACCAAGTGTTTGACTAATTGTAACACGTATACACAAAAATCCTTTTGAAACCATATTTAGTCCATCAATCTGTCCTTTATTAGATTATTCAAATCTGTTTGAATGCACTTTATGATAGAAAACTTTCCAATTAATTTTAATTTAATGGCACGTTGACCCTCCTCTGGGGGATCAGTGGAGAGAAAAACATTATTTTTAAACAGATGGGAACCTTAAGAGTTTGCTCATGAATTAGCAATCATTCACAATCAGCAGGGGCTGAAAGGACAGGAAGTATACAGAAGTAATTAGAATCAGTTTTAATTCCTTTGAGTTTTTTTTATTGTGCCAGAGCACAGCACAAAAGGAAAGACAATGCAATTAACAGAGATATTTACCAAAATCATGCAGATAGATCAATTAAATGTTTTCAAAGTAAGAGATCCAATAGAATTTGATCATTGTCTTTGCAGGATCTACTTCTCCCAGATGAGCATGTGTTTGCTTGTTTTGCAGTTGTTGTTAAAGCAAACCCTCACACATGTACAAAGCTAGGGCTGCATTATATGGTAGTGGTCTTAAATTGCAATGTTTGCTGTCCTGCAACTTTTGTTTGTGTCTCTGCTTTAACACATCTAAGCCCAATAGTCAGGTCATTAGCAGGACTTTGGAGAAATTGGCTGAATGTTGACGAACAACTGAAGTTCATGCAGTAGCTTCAACATGAAAATAAGCAGAGGTAAACTACAGAGGAATAGAACAAGGAGCAATCCCCTAGGAAGCAGCAATCTCTCTGTCAACAACGCCACTTAGGTAACAGACAAAGCAAGACTTAAAGACAGATATGCAAAGAGTAAACCTGTCTGACAGTAGCTCTGTCAACATGACAGGCTTGTTTGAGATAAAAACTTTTTTTTTTTTTTTACAGTGTGCTGTCTGGCAATATGTGCCAATAAGAATAATTGTCTTGATGCCGAAAAGAGCCCAACAGATTCATAAGTGGATCTGTTGGATCTTGATTTATGCATATAAATTGTTTTATTATAATCATGCAGGGAGTTTTACAGATTATATGGACACTGCAATGTAAGTAGAGCAGGAAAGGAAAAACAGAAAAAAAGGAGAAAGGATGAAAGAAAGAGGAGATAAAAGGGAGATAATGATAAAACATCTTCAGTCTGCTTCATCACCTGCAAAGAGATGTAAAAAGAACAGCACAACCAACAGACATGGTACGAGATATACAATAAAGTAACACCTTGATACTATCGCTGAAGTAGTATTATTTAATCTGACATGTACTCTGTTTTACCTGAAGATAAGAATATGGGCTCTCTGTATGGAAAATAAGTATATATATATATATATATATATATATATATATATATATATATATATATATATATATATATATATATATATATATTATTATGATTACACGTTTGGCTACAGAATGCTAATATAAATAGATCACAATTTAAAGGGACAGGCACACTAACAATAAAGGTGGGCTTTCTTTAGTATATAGATTAATTATATATATTATATTTTATATTTGTGTATATATTTTTATCTTTATTATCTTGTGTGGTTGGTTTTATATATATATATATATATATATATATATATATATATATATATATATATATATATATATATATATATATATATATATATATATATATATATATATATATATACACTATATTGCCAAAAGTATTTGCTCACCCATCCAAATTATTGGAATCAGGTGTTCCAATCACTTCCATGGCCACAGGTGTATAAATTCAAGCACCTAGGCATGCAGACTGTTTTTACAAACATTTGTGAAAGAATGGGTCGCTCTCAGGAGCTCAGTGAATTCCAGCGTGGAACTGTGATAGGATGCCACCTGTGCAACAAATCCAGTCGTGAAATTTCCTCGCTCCTAAATATTCCACAGTCAACTGTCAGCTGTATTATAAGAAAATGGAAGTGTTTGGGAACGACAGCAACTCAGCCACGAAGTGGTAGGCCACGTAAACTGACGGAGCGGGGTCAGCGGATGCTGACGCGCATAGTGCGAAGAGGTCGCCAACTTTCTGCAGAGTCAATCACTACAGACCTCCAAACTTCATGTGGCCTTCAGATTAGCTCAAGAACAGTGCGCAGAGAGCTTCATGGAATGGGTTTCCATGGGCGAGCAGCTGCATCCAAGCCATACATCACCAAGTGCAATGCAAAGCGTCGGATGCGGTGGTGTAAAGCACGCCGCCACTGGACTCTAGAGCAGTGGAGACGCGTTCTCTGAAGTGACGAATCGCGCTTCTCCATCTGGCAATCTGATGGACGGGTCTGGGTTTGGCAGTTGCCAGGAGAACGGTACTTGTCTGACTGCATTGTGCCAAGTGTAAAGTTTGGTGGAGGGGGGATTATGGTGTGGGGTTGTTTTTCAGGAGCTGGGCTTGGCCCCTTAGTTCCAGTGAAAGGAACTCTGAATGCTTCAGCATACCAAGACATTTTGGACAATTCCATGCTCCCAACTTTGTGGGAACAGTTTGGAGCTGGCCCCTTCCTCTTCCAACATGACTGTGCACCAGTGCACAAAGCAAGGTCCATAAAGACATGGATGACAGAGTCTGGTGTGGATGAACTTGACTGGCCTGCACAGAGTCCTGACCTCAACCCGATAGAACACCTTTGGGATGAATTAGAGCGGAGACTGAGAGCCAGGCCTTCTCGTCCAACATCAGTGTGCGACCTCACAAATGCGCTTCTGGAAGAATGGTCAAAAATTCCCATAAACACACTCCTAAACCTTGTGGACAGCCTTCCCAGAAGAGTTGAAGCTGTTCTAGCTGCAAAGGGTGGACCGACGTCATATTGAACCCTATGGATTAGGAACGGGATGTCACTTAAGCTCATATGTGAGTCAAGGCAGGTGAGCAAATACTTTTGGCAATATAGTGTATATATATATATATATAATATATATATGTATATAGAACTGTAACTGGAGCGTGTAACAAAAGTAAATTTCCCTCTGGGATTATTAAAGTATATCTGTTTCTGATTCTGAATTAGATATTTCAGGTTTTGAATCATCAACGTCCAAGAATGTCACCACAGCAAATAATTGCCTCATAAATTGAGGGGGGGCAGTATTCTGCTTTAAGACCCCACCCCCAAATTGCCCAATCGCCCTCCTCTCTCAGTCACCTGATTCATGTGCTGCCATTTTACACACAAGTTTGACTGATTGAATAAGTGAGGGGCAGGAATTGGCCTGTTTCTAAAATCAAAAAGAGATTTACTCAGTTTATTTATTGGTTTGTTTCAGTGAGCAAACTGAAAGAGACAAAGACTGCAGCCAGCGTGGGGTGCTGTGGAGATCAAAGAGGTGTTTGAGAATGGATTTGATTCTGGGGGGGGGGGGGTCAACAATTAGAGGAGGGTGGGCGGATGGGGAGGAAAGGAGGATGCAGATTGGTGTGATTTCTTACGGGATGCCGGGCAGATCTGACCATTAATCACTGTCCGTTTTTAGATTAGTGACATTTCCGCGCTGGACGCACCCTGACCCCCCCCCCCACCCCCCCCCCCCACCCCCATCTGTTTCAGGCAGACCTCCCCTGACCACCATTGGAAGCCGGTTCCTCGTGCACATTTGTGACGGTCTTCTATTTTTTCCTTGTTCTCCTTTTTTTTTCTTTTTGTCCGACGCATGAATTCTCCCACCGGATCCTCCTGTCCTCCTCTTCCTCCTCCTCCTCCTGACTCTCACAGAGGGCACTACCCTCCTCCCTACCACTAAAGACATTTCCATCGTCCTCCCCTGCTCCCCCCATCCGGACACGACCACCACCACCTCCTCCGCCTCCTCCTCCTCCTCTTCCACTGTAACATGTCGGGACAGTCTTTGACGGACCGGATCGCCGCCGCGCAGCACAGCATGACCGGCTCTGCCATCAGCAAAGCCGTCTGCAAGGCCACGACGCATGAAGTCAGCGGACCCAAGAAGAAACACCTTGACTGTAGGTTGAAAGCATGCCATCACTGCTCCCATTCAATAGCCTGCATGCACCTTTTTTTCATCCTCTCTCTTCACAAAGGACAGCCTGTACAACCACCATCCCGCCGGGGTATGTCTGCAACCTGCATTTATTTCAGTAAGAATATGCGTCTAGGATGAGCCGTGGAGGCGCGCATGCAACAATGAGCCTGGGCATCATTGGGCAACATTTAAATAAAGGGGCACTATCTGGGCATGTCATTCCGGGGAAATAGGCCACTCTGGTTTGGGCTAATCTCATTGCAACCAGCCGGTTTATAGTGCGGGGCCTATCTATTATTAACGCCACTATCATCAGCAGCATGCATGCAGCAGTATATGCACCCCCCCTCCATCCTCCCCCCACTTCAGTACATAATGTGCATTATCGCGCAGCATCACCAAACATCTTCCTCTTCATTCCCACAACCGCGCATTCAAGTCCACAGCGGCTCCTCTGGGCTTTCATCATTAATGAATGTCCTGCTGTCAGTCCTCAGCGCACAATAGCGATACTACTGCTGGTGAGGAGGACACAAGACAAATGTAGATTTTATTTTATGATCTTAAAATAATAAAAATAAATATTTTTCATTATGTAACTTCTTTAAAACAAAAAATAGCTAAAAAAAAAAAACACTTTTTAGTATGCACTGCAAAAAACATCTAGAAATAAGTACAAAAATAAGTGTATTTACCCTTAATTTTAGTAGGTAAATAAGACGATTTGCCAATGGAATCAGTATTTCTACTACTAAAATAAGATAATTAGATAATATTCACTTGAAATAAGACAAAGCAATTGTTTTTTTTCTTATTTTAAATGTAAATTCTCTTGTTCCATTGGCAAAGTGTCTCCCTTATCTCCTCAAAACAAGACAAAATTCACTCAATTTAGGCAAATATAACTCATACAGATTTCCATTTTTTGCAGTGATTCTATAGAAATGTCTAACACACCATCTCTAAATACTGAGTTATAGGAGTAAGAAAGAAGCAGTCACTTATAATTGATCTAAATATTTTCCAGTATATAAAAAGTCTCCCTAACCCAACCTGCTTAATTATGGCTTATTAAGACCTGAAAGCTGAATTTGTAGCAGTTTATCCATTGGGGGTATAGGTTCTTTTAAGATCCTGAACGTCTACTTCTTTTGAGCACTACTGAAATGTACATTTTACTTGTATTATTGCTCGGAGAAATAAAAAAACATTTTTGCATTAAAGATACAACAACAAAAAAACATTTTTATCTGTCAACATGTTCTATCCAGAGCTCCATAAGTGAAAACATTTTATTTTCATCTGGTTTATATTCATAAAAAAAAAAAATCCTCTTCCTGAAACCCTTTGCTATCCGATTATTAATCGATTAATCAAAAAAAAAAATCTATAGATTAATTGATTAGCAAAATAATCATTAGTTGCGTACTAGTGTGCGTACATATTCTAACAAATGTTAATGTTTGTGTTAATGATTCCCAAACAGAATCAATTTTTCAGAGTAGAATTATGCAGCGGGGCTGCTCAGTGACGCCTGTTTGTTTGCATGTTATCCCTGAGCATGTGTGGATTCTCTCTGGGTACTCCGGCTTCCTCCCACTGTCCAAAAATATGCCTGTTAGGTTAATTGGCTTCTCTAAATTCTCCTTAGGGGTGCGTGAATGGTTGTTTGTCTCTATGTTCCCCGGCGATGGACTGGCGACCTGTCCAGGGTGGACCCCACCTCTCGCCCATAGACTTGCGACCCCACCTGGGATTAAGCGTGTCAGAATGGATGGAATTATGCAGCTAAAGTCAAACCAGAGATGGTCAGAAGCAAACCAGACTCCTTAAAAACACAAAATAGGCTTCTCATTTAGCACAAAAGCAAAGAACAAAAACAATCAGATTGAAATTTCAGCATTATCAGCTACTTTTTGTGTGCTGCCCAAATTTACACCACAGGAGGTGCCTTTTCCTTTTTAGTAGTTGGTATACAAGCGTTACAGCTTTTTATGTTTGTTTTATCAAATTTTTTTTTTTTTTTAGCCTGCAGATGATGATGCCCTAGGCAGAAATACATAACATCAATAGATGTTTGACTGTAGCTGCTTTGTCCGTTTACCAGTGATCATAATTAGGTTAGGTAGCCTTTTCAAGGTTTTTTACGATCACTTGACATAATCAATAGAGAGCACATCTAATCAACGCAGCTGAGAGTCAAACCAAAGAAAAAAAAAAGAAAGAGTGAGATGGCTAATCTGGAGGAAAATGTGGATAAATCAGCCGGAGAGAGACACCATGAGGCAAGTAGCCAAACAGCCTGAGAGTCAGTCATCCAGCTGCATGCACAGCCAGTCAGCCGGCAACTCTGGCAGCACATTACTCAGTCATGTCCACAGCAGAGACATTGGGAATTGTGGGCCCCTTTAGGGAGCTTTGCCACCAGGCGTTTTAACATCTGTAATTCTTTGCCCCTATTTAAAAGTAAAAAACAAACAAAGAAAAACAAAAACTCACAAGAGTGTCTGAATATGATCAAAAATCATTAGTGCAACTATAATGATTATTACTGCTTCTTTGATTTAATCAATGATCTAATTATGAAGGTTTAAAATGGGCTGTTTGTTTGGAGGCAATAGTTTTGTGCCTAGAAGCTGAAGATTTCAGCTGCATGCTTTGATTGCATGGATTCATTTCAATTGATGACTTCAAATAAACATTAAAATACATTAAAGAAAATCAGGCGAAGTACCTAATGTAATTAGATTCATTTCTGGCAAATCTTCAAGCACTCTGTAGCTGTGCAGATACATAATTTATAGAAGGCTGTCCACTTCTGTGTCTGTCAGTAGTAGGAGGGTTCAGAAAATGAAAGCCTATTTTTACAGTTCCTGCAATGAATTTTATGTAGTTGCTCTCAAGGACAAAAACAGTTTCCCCAAGGTCTGAGGAGCCTGCAGGGGACTTTTATTGCGATCTACTCCTGGTTTCATTAATCTGCACTAAATCACCTGTTTGCCTGTTTTGTACTTTGAGAGCCAGATAGTTTCTATTTCCAGCTGGAGAACCTGTCTCGTATAAGGCAGGGTTTAACATGCTGAGCGTGAAATGTTAAAGGTAGAAGGAAATGCATTCGTAAGGAGGAGGTCAGTGGTTCTGGAACTGGAACAGGCTGAGCAGACCTGGAAAACAGAAGGAACAAAGAAGCAAACAAACTTCTGCAAAGGAGGCTATGATGAGTCATATGTGAGCCGCGTCAGGTCTGCATTTTCACTTACATTATACCCACACTCTCTCTGTTCAAGTTAGTAGGGTTTTTTTTTCTTTTTTTCTGCACTGCCTGGTAAACAGTGTCATCCGAAGCAACACTTTATAATGGGAAACCTTGAAAAAGCTCTTGGAGGGAATAAAAATCACAAAAGTGAGATGAAACGAATGTAGAGAACAGAATTTAGTGCTGAAAGGATGGAAGCCATATTGGAAATAATATGTTATATTTATTTAGTGCATCCTTCTATAAATATCAGTAAAGTTGTTTTTTACATTTACACCAAGTGTGTGTGTATTAGGAGAAAGGTTTTCTTCAACATTTGTGGTCTAATACATGTAAACCAGAGCTGCAGGTCAACATTATGTAGGAAGAACAATGATGTTACATAGAGAGGTTTTCTTGTCTGAGTCACTCTTCAAAATGAGAAATGAGGTCCAAAGTTAATTTTCCCAAGCTAATAGCTTTTATCAGAAGCATCAGAAGCATTTGCTTTGGTTAGATAAAACTACATAGAGCTGTTCAGTACTAAACATGTTCAAAGAAACGTTTCCTATGCTGTTAGGTACTGTGGAGATCCTATGATGCTGTCTGCCTGTTGCTCTCATCAGAAACATCTTCAACACTTTAAAATACCATGGTAACTGGAATAACAAAAACTGTAATTCCTGCTAAAATGTCTGAATATAGGTATTTTCTGAGTCTTCTATTAGGATAAGTACAATTAAATGTATGGTCGAAAAAAAAAATGACAGCGAGCTTCTTCTACTTCACAGACTGCTTTAATTTTGTAAAACATTCAAAGTAGGGCTGCAACTAATGATTATTTTGTTAATCGATTCATCTGTCAATTTTTTTTTGATGAATCAATTAATAATCATATAGCAAAAGGTTACATAAAGGAGACTTTTTACCGAATTAAAACAGGTGAAACAAAAACTTTTCCACTTGAGGAGTTCTGGATAGGGCATATCGACAGATGAAAAAGTTGTTATTATCTTAAAGCTACAGTGTGTAATAATTACAGGGATATACAGTCAGAAATGTAATATATTATACATAACTATGTTATTTATCATCATCTACGAGCTCAGCCTCTTAACCTTAATATTTGCGTTGCCTTAGAATTCGTTATTTATAATTACATAGGAGCGGGTCTCGCAGCCATGGAGGCAGACATCTTTGCGCTACGGCAGCGCAGAGCAAACAAACTAGCGATTGCGAGATCGCCCATTACGCTCGATAGTAACTACGGCAAGTTGAGAGAGATGAACTGAGACGGTACTGAACACACAGACTAATGAAATACTATCTGTAAAATTATCTATGTAAACAAACCTCATCATTTGAGAAGGTAGGTGATGCGGACGTCGTGGAAGACATTTTGTCCCGTAACGCTCGCCGTACTGTTGGGGGGGAGAAGCGGTGGGGGGGAGATGTTCATGTTGCTGCGGTCTGCAGTCTGGACGTTAAATGTCGCTGAAAATTACACACTGTAGCTTTAAATGCTAAATATTTATGTATTTTTGTACAATCTTGGTATAATTACTAAAGTGGATCACTCTGTCAGTAAAAGGCATGTTTTACAGTCTCTATACTCCAGTTCATGATTAATCGATTACTGAATTAGTTCACGATTTTTTCCATAGTTGATTAATCATGATTTATCTGAATAATTGTTTCAGCCCATAAATATAAGAGACGACTAAGTGCTCCTCAGTGTGCATTCA